CCTTGCCCCTGATTCACTGCTACTCCCCGTCTCCCTCCATCTCTCTCCCTTCTCCTCCCCTACAAGTCTTTCTCCCTCAGCAGTTCCCTGGCGACCCCGTTTGGGCCATTGGCGGCCATTGGGCTTTTCTTGGATCCTTGCTTCTTCGTCCCACCCCGTGTCCCATTCCTCCTGTCTTGGGCGTAGTGTTCCCTTGGTGACCAAATTTACCCCCCCAGTCGGCTATGGCGATTGGTCTGGAGTCGATGGGCCGAGCCCCCTAATTTTGCCGACGTTCGGCTGTCGTCGACATGTCCGGTATGCGCGTGATGGTTGAAGCTGAAGGAGCCTACCATCGTCCTGCCCAGGATGTCCCTTGCTTTGACTTGTGCGCTTTCCTATGCTACCGTTTGCGTGCTGGCCCTCCTGCCGGTGGCTCTTCGCGTGTCGCAGACTGCCAGTGCTCCATGGCTTCTTGCACCTCTGTCGTGGCCGCGTGCTGGTTGGATTGTCCATTAATCTGTGGCAGTCTACCAGGCTGCTGGCGGAGAAGTAAGGGCGCATGAGTCGCCCGATAGTGCTGGCACCCTTATTGGCCGGATCCGAAGTTCGATTCACTTGCTTTGGGAGTGTAGGAGTACACCTGCGAGCCAGTGGAATCTTCTTCCTGACCAGCGCAGCTCTGATGTTACATTGTAATGGCCTCCGGCCAGTGCCGCCGATCCGGGGGGCTCCGGATTCGGTGATCTTCGCGGTTCTGTGGCCTCCTCCTTCCTCGATTCTTCTGGCCCTTTTTCTTCTCCCCGGTTCTCGTTATCCTCTGCCTCCCGCTGACCCCTTAGCGTCGCGTGCTTGCTCCCCTCTTCGTCCTCGCTCGTCCTCGTTCCCGCGGGGGGGGTGCCTGGAGAGGTCCCGGGGGGAGTCCGGTGAGGGTTCCGAGGGGAGGGTCCTGGGGGCGGTAGCGGCTAGATCTGAGGATGGTCCCCTGGGACCCCTGGGACCCCCCGAAACATTTTGGGGATGCGCGAATCAGTAAGGAAACGCCAGATGGGGGACCGCCCCGCCCTCCCCCCCTCCCCCCCTTTCCCGGACCCCCGAAACATCTTGGGGATGCGCAAATCATCAAAGAAAACGCCAGATGGGAGACTGCCCCCTCCCCTCCCTCCCCCCTTCCCAGCAGAGCCACCTCGGCGACCCCCACCAAGCAGAGCTGAAGCTCTTGCTTGGGCTCAGAGCTGACACTCTTGTAGTTCACACGCCAGATCGGCGGATACGGCACTCGATGTTGTGGGTTTCCGAGCCTGGGCGATATTGGTTTTTGGCTTGTTGGGCAAGGAACGGCGTCACATCTCTTTTCTCTCGCCTCGACTCCGTGCGCTTTTCCCTGAGCGAGTTGCTGTGAGATGTGGCGTCTTGGACCCATTGTCGGCATCTTTTCCATCCGCCATGTTGTGAAATCGCGCGGAAGATGTCCTTTCATGTGCAACCATTCTAGCCACCACGTATGGGCTCACGTGGGTGCGCGCCCGTGGACACCGTCGGCAAGGGACCCCCGTAGGCGAGGCTGCACCTGTGGATCGAGTATCCCCCGTTGTTGCCGTCCCCGTTGTTGCGGACCCCTCTGTACCAGTACGGTGCTCCGCCTTCCTTTATTGCCTGTTTTTGAATTTTATCATCATGGGGCGCGTCCAACCCACGCGGAATGCAGATCCAAAGAGTCTTCCTCCTTCCCGTTCCTCCCTCCCTGCTGCTCTCTCTTGCCTCCTCTTTCTTCTCGGCTCCCTCCTTCTGCCCCCCCCTTCTCGCAGGCCCAGGAGAAGTCCACTGCCGCTGAAGCAGAGGCGGGAGCTTCTTTGCAGCTGCCACAAGCGGGATAGGAGGAGGAGGAGGAAGAGGAGGAGGAAGGGGAGGAGGAGGAGGAGGATGAGGAGGAGGAGGAGGAGAAGGAGGAGGAGGAGGAGCAGGAGGAGGAGGAGGAGGAGGAGGACGAGGACCAGTATAAAACCCAAGGCTCACCATCGATGTCACAATAAACCCTCCATCCAAGATCCCGCTTCATATGTCCGTGCAAGGCTCTATTTTCTTCAGGGGGGTGCCCTGTTGGATGACATCTGCCTGGAAATCATGGTCCGTGCCAAAACACCTCTCCTGGGACTTCAACGCTGCGAATCAACGTTACTGTTGCATCCTGGCGGTCTTGACTCGTGCCAGAACACCATTCCTGGGAGCTCAGCACCGCGAATCAACCTGACTGTTGCGCCCTGACGGTCGTTCATCGTGCCGAAACATCATGTGTGAGGCGCGAACCAAAAGACATCTTCGGAATTGCTATAAGCTCTTAAGACACATGTGCGCCATTCTAAGGCGAGAGCCATATTTTGAAAGGGCTCCCCATCGGTGAAACTCTTGACAACTTCTCAGACGAATGGGTGCGGCGCTGAGGCGAGATTCACATTTTGAACCCCCTGCCCTCCATCCGTGAAGCTCTTGGAAACATCTAAAACGAATGTGCGGTGCGCGGCGCTGAGGCGAGTGCGGAGCGCCCTCCATCAGTGAAACCCTTCGGAAACTTTACATACGAATCGGGGCGGCGCTGAGGCAAGAGCCACATTTTGAGAACGACCCGCCCTCCATCCGTGAAGCTCTTGTAAACGTGAAGCTTACCAATCATACACGGTGAGGGAGGCTCAGGCAAAACGCCCGGCCCGCCCTCCCGACTTATCTCGGGGTGCGACAGGGATGCGTTATTCGCCGAGCGCGTTCCACTGCTCGCAAAGTGCCTACTCGCAAACGCCCGAAAACCCCCCCAGCGGATCCAGGCCATTTGCGAGTAGTCACTTTGCGAGTAGTGGAACGTGCTCGTCTAGTTATTCACGAAGAGAACGGATTGGGGATGAGGAGTACATATGAGGAGGAGGAGGAGGAGGCGGAAGGCTCACACCTGGAGGACGCTCCCCGCAAAGGAGGATGAGAAACATGATGCCGACCATGATGTTGACTATGATGATGACTATGATGCTGATGCTGATGACGATGATGCTGGTGATCCTGACGATGACGATGACGATGACAACGACGACGACTGCGATGACAACGATTCTGATTATGATGATGATGGTGAAGGTGATGGTGATGATGATGATGATGATGGTGATGGTGGTGGTGATGATGAGACTGTTGATGACCATCAGGATGATGATGATGATGAGGAGGAGGAGGAGGATACCGACGACGATGATGCTTTTTTTCTGCTGATGATGATGGTGATGGTGGTGGTGATGGTGCTGATGACGACGATGATGCTGACGATGATGCTGATGATGGTGATGCTGATGCTGCTGATGATGATGATGATGCTGCTGATGATGAAGGTGGTGGGTGGTTGTGATGGTGATGCTTATGATGCTGCTGCTGATGATGCTGATGATAGTGATGATGATGATGCTTCTGCTGATGATGATGCTGATACTGATGATGATGGTGATGATGATGCTGACGACGATGATAGTGACGACGACGATGATGATGATGATGATGATGATGATTATGATGATGATGATGATGATGATGATGATGATGATGATGATACATGATGATGATGACGATGATGATGATCATGATGCTGCTGCTGCTGATCATGATGATACTGATGACGATGATGATGATGATGCTGATGATGATGATGCTGATGCTGATGCTGATGCTGATGCTGATGCTGCTGTTGCTGATGATGATGATGATGATGATGATGATGATGATGATGATGATGATGATGATGATGATGATGATGATGATGATGATGATGATGATGGGGCTGCATTTGATGTTGACGATTGTTATCGGAGGCGGCACCATATCGTGTAGCGTAAGCGTAATCTGTATGTGCTCGCACAGGAACAATATCCACGACAATGGGTGTCCCTGTGCTGCCGAAGCTACAACGAGGAGGAGGAGGGGGGGGGAGGGTAAGAGGAGGGGGAGAGGGAGGAGGAGGAGGAGGAGGAGGAGGAGGAGGAGGAGGAGGAGGAGGAGGAGGAGGAGGAGGAGGAGAGAGGAGGAGGAGGAGGAGGAGGAGGAGGAGGAGGAGGAGGAGGAGGAGGAGGAGGAGGAGGAGGAGGAGGAGGAGGAGGGAGGAGGAGGAGGAGGAGGAGGAGGAGGAGGAGGAGGAGGAGGAGGAGGAGGAGGAGGAGGAGGAGGAGGAGGAGGAGGAGGAGGTTAAGGAGGAGGAGGAGGAGGAGGAGGATGAGGAGGGGGAGGACCAGTCGAAACCAAAGAGTTATCAACGATGTTGGAGTGAACCCTCCCTCCAAGCTCTCTCTTAATAGGCTGCTGCAACGGTTCGTTTCGACAGGGAACTGCCTCGTTGGAGGACAACAAGACCCTGAAGCATGCCAAAACATCTTTCTCAGGATTTCTACGCCAGATCAATCGAACTGTTGCGTCTTGACGATCCCGAAATGTGCGCGGCGCTAAGGCGAGAGCCACATTTTGAAGAGGAACCACCCTCAATCCGTGAAACTCTTGTTGTTTTTACAACGCATGTGCGCGGCGCTAAGGCGAGAGCCACATTTTGAAAACGACCCGTCCTCAATCTGGGAAGCTCGTGCAATTTTTCAAAACGAATCTGCGCGGCGTTAAGGCGAGAGCCACATTTTGACACCGACTCGCCCTCAATCCGTGAAGCCCGTGAAAATTTCAACAACGAATGTGCGCGGCGCTAAGGCGAGAGCCACATTTTGAAAACCACCCGCCCTCTATTCCTCTTCTTATATTTTTATAAGCCCGGGCGGGGGGAAAACCCTCCCCCCCCCCCGAAACCGGACTCCCGAGATCTGGGGCTTTGGGACCTTCCGAGCGGGCCTCGAAGCGGCCCCCCGGGCCTCGCAGGGCGTTTTGCCAAGCCTTCGCAGCACACCTGGGGCGATCAGGGGGGTCCTCGGAGACGTCCCAGAGACCCCCAAGACAACACAAGCGCGCTCCAAGAAGCCGTCATACCCCCAAAGATCGCCCCAAAACGTTCTAAGAGGCCTCCAAGAGCACCCCCAAGAAGGCCCCAAGAGGGAAGAAACATTTTTTTTGTCCGTAGCCACTGTGGCTCAAGAGCTGCGTGGCTCATGCTCACGGAAGCTTGCCCATTGACTTTCCAGTCTCGCACTTGCGTGGTGACCTGGTGCAGCAAGTCCCGAACGCCATGAGCAGCCCTGGGGACCCCAAGTTCGGGCAGGTGCTTGCGCACGCCAAGGTTGCCGAGGCGATTGCCTGGCTCAAGAATGAATTCGAGTCCGACAGGAAGGAGACAGAGAGGCGCCACGACGCTTTAGTCGAGGGCCTTGTCCAGGCCCTCGAGCTGGACGCAGACGCCTCGTGCATTCGGACTCGGGCGCCTTACGTGGCCATTCCGGGGCCACTCACTCGAAGCGCAACGCAATGCCTGAGCCTCGACCTGGGGTCTCCCGTCAGGAGGCTCAATACGGACGTCAGCGCGCCCGACGACAGATCTCCAAATAATCATGGGAACCAACGTATGTTCGCCAGCAGGATGATCGGTAATAGTCAAAGAGGCGCAGGCGACAACGACTTATCCAATCCCGAACCAGTCATGAGGCGGGTCAGGACCACCGTTTCACTTACCGAATTCGCCATGCAGGGGCGCGGTCTGGACAGGGCTCCCACGACGTCGTTCAGGGAGAGCCGAACTGCTCGGTTTGGGAATCCTTCGCTTGTGCAGCGCATCTGCCTCCGTGCCGTCCAGAACCCGTGGTTCGATTTTTTCATGTCTGTCATCGTCGGCATGAACAGCGTGGTGATTGGGCTGGAGATCCAGGAGAGCATCGACAGACAGGCTCCGACCTCTGTGGCGTACCAGGTGATGGAGAACTGTTTTCTAGTGTCTTATGTCTTTGAGCTTTCGCTTCGTTTGCTCGCTGACTGGCAGGAGTGCCTCCGGAGTTCGTGGTTCAAGATGGACATTGCCCTCGTCGCCCTTGGCATGGTGACAATCTGGGTGCTGGAGCCGCTGCTGCTGATGGGGGATGCCGCCGGAGTGCTGGACAAGTTGCTGGTTTTCAGAGTTCTGCGCTTGATTCGCCTTGTCCGGACCTTCCGCTTCCTGAAATCCATGCAGCCATTTTGGAAGTTGGTGAAGGGCATGCTAGTGTCAAATGGATCGGTGATGTGGGCTGCGGTGTTGCTCTTCGGAGCCATCTACGTGTTCGCGTGCGTAGGGGTGGCGGTCATCGGCGCGAACGAGGAGCTGCTCTCCGACCCCATTGTTGGTGAGATCGTTGCAGACCGCTTCAGGTCGATCCCGGTGCTGATGATTACGCTGCTGCAGTTCACTTTATGCGACGGGGCCGCTCAGGTCTATCATCCTTTGGTTCGCGCGAAACCCGTCTTGCTCTGTTTTTTCTTGCCGGTTCTGCTCACGATGCCGATCGCTCTTATGAATTTGATCACGGCCGCAGTTCTGAATAATGCCATCAAGGTCTCAAGCCATGATGCAGAGTTAGAGCGCGTTCATCTCCGGGGAAGGCTGCAGGAGTTAATCCCGATTCTGAATGGCCTCTTCAGGCAGTTCGACTCAGAAGGCCAAGGGCACATCCGCTGGGCAGATCTTGACTTAGCGAAGGTGGGCACGTTGTGGTTGCCCCCCGAGGTGCTACGCGCGCTGAAGTCTTACAAACTCGAAGACTTCTTCAAGCTCCTCGATGCTGATGGGTGTGGAAGGATCACTCAGACTGAGTGGGTCGACGGTATGTGTTGCCTTGTCCTGGATGGAATGCCAATCGAGAATTTCCAGGTGCTCCACACGCTCTACCGGCAGGCCAACATTCTGGAGGAACTGAAGGCCGCCTTGCTGCCGGACTACAGGCCCTCGATAGGATTTGGTGCCAATGCCTGATCCGCCGAGCTCGGCAGCTCCAGCCTCCCGTCCGCCTGACGGAAGGCGTTAGGGTGGTCTGTTTTCTTTGTTTTGCTCTCTCTATGTACGTATGTATGTATGTATGTATGCATGTATGTATGGATGCATGCATGCATGCATGCATGCATGCATGCATGTATGTATGTATGTATGTATGTATGTATGTATGTATGTATGTATGTATGCATGCATGCATGCATGCCATGCATGCATGCATGCATGTATGTATGTATGTACGTATGTACGTACGTACGTACGTATGCCTGTATGCCTGTATGCCTGTATGCATGTATGCATGTATGCATGTATGCATGCATGCATGCATGCATGTATGTATGTATGCATGCATGTATGTATGTATGCATGTATGTATGTATGTATGTATGTATGTATGTATATATACAAATAACCAAACCACAAATGACAACACATAACACATGACATCAGACCGCACACACCTTCTTGTATGTTGGAGCGTTTAGCTCCCGTTTCACAAACATCATGCTGGCCGTTTACCTAGCAGGCTAGAAGCCCCCCGCGTGACGCGCGCGCGTGTGTGTATCCGTTTTTCCAACACGCGCAGGCTCTCGTGCCTTCAATCGCGAACGCCCCCGAGGAGCAGTCACCGCCGTCCGAGTTTCTTTGGACCTGGACGTTTCTCCAAGAGTTAAACAGCTTCATAGGGCCGAAATATTGATGCCGATATGAAGATGTCGGTTCGGATCGTCACCTCTGTGGCGGTCTGCCCAACCGTGACTTTCGAGAGGCGATCTAGGGTTCGCGCCCTGCCAGTCCGCCCGCCGCCTCGTCGCAGATGGGCGCCAGCCGATCGGCCGAGGTGCTGCGGCGGGTGCTGGCCCGCCCCTCGTGGCACCTTCCCGTCCCTCTTCCTTCTCCTCCTCCTCCTCCTCCTCTTCCTCCTCCTCCTCCTCCTCCTCCTCCTCCTCCTCCTCCTCCTCCTCCTCCTCCTCCTCCTCCTCCCCCTCTGTCTCGACCCCTAAAAAGACACCACCTCACCTACGGCCCGCCTTGCTGCGCTGCGGCCCATCGGCGGCCGCAGCGGTCGTTTGTTCTCGGGTTCTCCTTCTCCTCCTTCGTCCCGAGCGGCTGCTCCTCTCGCGGGCCTGCCGAGGGATGTCACTCCTCCCTGGTGCAATCTATGAGCTCCTCCTCTGCTGGCCGCTGCCAGCGACCCTGTTTTTGTTTGGGGGGTGGGGGCCTGCCGCGGGGTAGCGGTGTGCCGCCTGTGCACAGACGCACCGCTGTCCCTCCCTTCGGGGAGGCAGTCTGCCTTGTCCGAGACTGTTGGCCGCCCGTCGTCCTTTGCCTCCGTTGCGCAGGTGCGTTCCCAAACTCAGCGAAAAACCTTGCCGGGAAACGTGAAGACGACTGTGAAGACGATTGTCGACACTTGGAAGGCTAGGCCGCGGGCGCCGTTGCACGGCCTGCGCAATGATATGTGGTGAACGCCGCAAACGCGTTCCTATGAATTTGCATAGCCTCCAAGAGGTATTGCGTGACATTGGTTAATGTCGTCACTGTTTGAATGTGGGAAAAAAGATGAAAAAAACCATTGATTTTACGGAGGTTTTTGGTGAATTTGGGGTTCTCCTCTTTTCGGCTTCCCGACGTTCCAAGACGGCGGCCTTCTGGGCGTCCGAAGCCGCCTGGGAGGCTCCAAAATCGCCCCACAACCATCCGAAAGGGCTCCCAGGCAGTCTGAGAGCCCCAAAACGGCACAACAGGGGTCCAAGATGGCCCTAAGAGAGCCCCATGGCGGCCCAAGATGGCCCCAAGACACCCTCCGAAGCATTCCAAATCGTGACCGGGGCGTTCAGGGAGACCGCGGTTAGATGCAGGTTGGCCTGAGGAAGCCCCAGAGGCTCCCAGAACACGCCCAGGAGGCCTCCAGAAGGCTTTAAGAAAGCCTGAGAACTTTGGTGAGGCCCCCAGAGGTTCTCCAAGGAGAAGCCTCCGCAAAAAGAGCTGAGGAGGACGGGGAGCATGCCCAGGGTATGGCGAGAATGATGAACAATAAACATGGAGGGAGGATAACGAACAACATGATTATAACGGCGATGCCAGAAAAGGCAGCAATGACCTTCCTGCCATTTCCGCCTGCATACCAAAGTTCAAGGACCAAGGTGCATAGCGCGAAGCGCCAACTGCAGTCTTGTATATATATATATGGAGCTGCTGCCAATTTTTCAGCTTCAGGGTCATACAGTGAGGAAGTCTCAGGCGAAACGCCCGGCCCGCCTTAAAAACTGGCCTCGGGGTGAGACAGGGAGAAGTTATTTATAATAAGGACAAGGCATGGAGGAGGATGAGGAGAAGGAGGAGGAGGAGGAGGAGGAGGCACTACCATGACAAGGAAGAGGAGGAGGAGGCGGCGGAGAAGGAGGAATAATAGCAGGAGGAGGAGGAGAAATTATGAGGATGAGAAAATGAGAAAGAGGAGGAGAAAGACGAGGAGGAGGAGGAGGAGGAGGAGGAGGATCCCCCCTTCCCCCTGGTTCTCGGGGAGTGGGACAGTGGGGCGGAAGAGAAATTAGTCCCTGTGTTTCTTTGGCCGCGGAAGTGCCCAACTGTCCCACACATGTCTTGAGCAAGTGGCCCACCGCCTTGGCGACGCTTGGGCTTCGGCTTCTCTTGCCCTCGATCGCTCGGACGAGCTCGTCGTCGGCCTCGCGCTCCTGGGCCCGCAGGTCCCTGACACGCGCCCCGTGCCGCTCGACCTGCCATTCCTCGCTCCCTCGCCCCCTCCCCCTCCCCCTCCCCGCCCACGGGGAGAGCGGCCCGCCAGACCATGACGGCCCTGCAGGAGGCCCGCAAGTGCATCCCCCGCGGGGGCTGGCGCCTGCCCGCCGCGGGGCTCCTGCTCCGCCCCCCCCTCGGTGGCGAGCCGGGGGCACGCCGCTGCTGCTTCGGCGGGGGTGGGCCGGGCCGGGGGCGAGGCCGCCCTCCGAGGGGGAAGGGGAGGGAGGGGGGCAGAGGACCCCGAGGAGACGGGCCCCGGGGAAGACGGCGGTCCGTCCCGTATCGGGGCGGGGGGAAAGTGCTCGGGGGTCTCGGAGGGAGCATGGGGGCGGGGGGAAG